AGTCTAACAGCCTCAGGGTAGAAGCTGTTCCTCAGTCTAGTGGTTCTACACTTAATGCTCCTTAACCTCCTTCCTGAGGGGAGTGGGGCAAAAAGTGTGTGTGCTGGGTGAGTGGGGTCCTTCATGATGCAGGTGGCCCTCTTCCTACATCTGGAGATGTAGATGTCTGTGATGGTGGGGAAGCTGATTCCGACAGATTTCTGTGCAGCCTTCACCACTCTCTGCAAAGCTTTTCTTTCTGCAGCTGTGCAGCCTCCATGCCACACATTGATGCTGGAGCACAGGATGCTCTCCACTGCACACCTGTAGAAGGAGGTGAGGACTGAGCTTCCCAGACCAGCTCGCCTCAGCCGTCTGAGGAAGTAGAGTCTCTGATGAGCTTTCTTGATCAGGCTGGTGGTGTTGTTGCTCCAGCTGAGGTTGTCATTCATGTGTACACCCAAGTACTTGTAGCTGGAGACCACTTCCACCGCAGATCCTCTTATGTTCAGGGGGGTGTAGGTGTTTTTGTTCCTTCTGAAGTCCACAATCATCTCCTTTGTCTTCTTCACATTGATGTGAAGGTTATTCTCTCTGCACCAGCTCTCCAGGTGTTCCACCTCCTGCCTGTAGCTGGACTCATCATTGTTTGTGATGCATCCCACCACCGCTGTATCATCTGCAAACTTTACAATGTGACAGCCTGGATGGGTAGCTGCACAATCATATGTGAGCAGAGTAAACAGGAGGGGGCTCAACACACATCCCTGAGGAGAGCCAGTGCTGAGGGTTATGGTGGAGGAGGAGAGATTGTGGATCCTCACTAACTGTGGTCTGTTTGTTAAAAAGTCTAGTACCCAGTTGCAGATGGAGGGGCTTAGTCCTAGTGTGGATAGTTTGTCCATCAGGGTTTGGGGGATCATGGTGTTGAAGGCGGATGTGAAGTCCACAAAGAGCATACGGACGTAAGAGTTTTTCTGCTCCAGGTGGTTGAGTGCAGTGTGGACCACAGAGGAGATTGCATCCTCTGTTGATCGGTTCTCACGGTATGCGTACTGATGAGGGTCCTCGTTGATGTTGATGGTTGTTTTGATGTGAGTCATGACCAGTTTTTCGAAGCATTTAGCGACTATCGGGGTGAGGGCCACTGGCCGATAGTCATTCAGACCAGTCACTGTAGAGCTTTTTTGGGACTGGGATGATGGTGGCAGTCTTCAGGCAGGTGGGAACTGTCTCCAGGGTAAGTGAGGTGTTAAAGATGTCTGCCAGCACCTCACAGAGCTGATCAGCACATTCCTTCAACACTTTTCCGGGGATGTTGTCTGGGCCAGTTGCTTTGTGCGGATTAATCCTCCTGAAGGTACTCCTTACTTCTGCTGAGGTCACGCTGAGATGCTCTTCATCCGGTGGTGAGGTGAGTCTGGTGCTGGGTGGTCTGTTCGGGTCTTCAAAGCGTGCATAGAACTTGTTGAGGGCATCAGGCAGAGATGGGTCTTTGGGACATTGTTCACTCCTTCCTTTATAATCTGTTATGCACTTAATGCCCCTCCACATGCTCCGAGGGTCTTGTGAGATGAATTGACCCTCGATCCTCTTTGCATATGTGGCCTTGGCCCTCTTAATACCAGCAACCAGCTCTTTTCTTGTCCTACTCAGCTCCTCTGAGTTTCCAGACCTGAAGGCAGTGTTCCTGGCTTCCAGCAGGGTACGCACCTCTGCATTCAGCCAAGGTTTTCTGTTTGGGTAGCTTTTAACATTTCTGATAGTGGAGACTGTGTCAGTACATGTACTAATGTAACCCAGTACTGAGGATGTGTATTGGTCAAGATCAAGCGAACCTCCATTTTCAGCAGCTTCTCTGAAAACCTGCCAGTCTGTTCGATCAAAACAATCTCTCAGTATGGGGCCACTGTCCTGGATCCAACATTTAACTTTCTTTTGAACCGGTTGTGATATATATCACAACATAATTTTATTCAATAACAGTGATATGAGTTTTAAGCACAATTCCGATAGACATTATGTAATGATTACAGCATTTCACTGATGCATTTCTTTTTCTCTTTGGGTTGAAGTGGCCGCTTCAGTTTCAACCCGAACAAAAAAAGCCTCAACACAACTACATAAGTACGTGGTGACGTACACCACAGCTCGAAGGAGTCAGTGGTAGCAGGCTAGGCTAGGCTAAGCTCCAACGCCCGATTAGCTTTCGCTTCAAAATGAGTGCCCATGACGGTCAGAATGTGACTGAACAAGCTTTCACAAGTGAAGAGAAAGCAGTTGACATCATTGATAAGAGAGGAAAGACTAATTTGGTGGTATGGAAGTGGTTCGGCTCTCTTAAGTGTGCTGCAAAATGTGCCAGAGAGTCATCCCAACTAGCGGTGGGAACACATCTAACCTGTTCCGTCTGAAGAGTTTCCACTCTATAGAATATGCTGAGTCAGAAGATGAAGCACAATAAAGTTTGAGCCAACGTGTCCCTGAAACAACACCCCCAGTTGTATCAAAAGAGAAACCCATGCAGCAAACACAGATGTTTGCTGCATGGGTTGTTAGGTTATGTTGTTGTTTAAAGTTAAAACTAATATATATTAATATTGACAAAGTTGAGAGTTTTATGTTTATTTGACGGTGATTTCAATTTTTTTTTTTTGAAGGCTAAATACAAATAAAAGGTGAACATTAATTTATTTGTACAGTTTGTACATTTTTTCTGAGGCTTTTATATTGTTTATATCGATATCGGAATTATATCGTTATCGACTGAAAGTAAATATATCGTGATAAACGTTTTGGCCATATCGTCCAGCCTTAATACTAAGGCTACTTTTTTAAAGACAGCTGTACATAAAATATAACCTTTTCCCATAAAACACCTGGAAAATGCAGTCTCTACCAAATGTGGATGTATTAAATGCAAAGAGTAAGCTATATTCATTGGAAAAACTTTTTGTATTAGTTTTTTACCTGTTGTCATTTTGAGTTATTTATTGGTCTTTTTTTTTACTTTTTGAAATATTTTAGTTGAATTTTTAATCATAGATTTACAGCAACTGTTTAAAATTGACCAAGTTCTGACTTTTATAACCAAAAGTCATAATTTTATACGATAATCCACTGTGACAAAATACAATAATATCAACAAGAGAAGGGTACATACTGGATTGTGCTGGAAGGCTGGAGGAGACGTTGCCACTGAATTACTATAACCACCACTTTCACTCCGGAATGACTGTCAAATGGAAACAATTTAGGTAAATAAAGATGGGTGAGGTGAACCGGGGTAATACTGTCATCATTGTTATTAGAAAAGGCAATAAAAAGAACAAACTGTAGCTGATGATAAAGCACAGCAGGATGGAGTTATTCTTCTGAATCAAAGCTTTATTGTTGTCCAAAAAGCCTATTTTAAACACCTCAGTGGCTCATATTGTTGCACCAGGTGACATGTATATCATGAGGATGAAAACAGCTGCACTCTGTTGTGAGTAATTCTCCCATTCACCATCCCACTGCAAAGAAAGCTCACTGGTGCAGGAAATGTGTATTAATCTGCTGCTGAAAACCCTCCCCAACAAACACACCATTCACCCCACTATGGGTTTTATAAAGACCTTGTATTACCGTGCGAGGAAATATAACTTTCTTTCTAACACAGTGCTCCCTAAATGCATCAGTGCTCGAGGTGTTATCAAGTGATTTGTTGATAAGAAAAGTGGCTGCTACTGGGTGTGGAGTAGAGTGTAACTGTGATTTTTTATTTACATGGAAATGCAGAGTTTGCTGTGGTAACGCGTTATTCATGTCATGCTCCGTACCCGTCCGTGGCCAACCTCGTGTGCTTTATGTTGAGCTTCATCAAGCCTTTGTTGGTGTTGCTGCAGTAATCTGTCCTTCCTCCCAAACTGCTGCTATTGTGACAAGACAGACCCAGTAAAAAGCTTTCAACTGCATATGTGTAGCTAAAAAAATATGTTGCGATATAACTAATCGAAGGCCTTACCTCATAATCACAGAGTAATTTGTTCCTTTCACTCAGTTTGCGTTTGAGCTCCTCCTGCAGGCAGGAACATATTGCTTTAAATACAGCGTTTCTCTTACATAAAAGCTGCACCCACAAGTAAAACCAAGTCAAACAAGCAGTACGCCGATGTCCCCCGTCGCTGAAGGATTTGAATAGTGAAGGTTTGTAGTTTACAAGATTAGTGTTTTTCTGGACTGGAACTGAACAGGGAATGCAAGTAAACAATGTTATTTGTACAAGATATTCAAGTGGGTAGGAGTTACATTGTGTAGAAAAGCAGCGGTTTGTTTTTCTTGTCCATTGTGGCCGAGTGACTGATCCTGGCGATGGAAGGGAACAATTTTATCCACCACGTGGTGCAATGGCGGAGCCAGGGGGTGGCCAACGGTGGCCCAGTTCACCATAAATTAATTTTTGGCCACACCACCGGCCACCCAAATCATTTGAGGAAACTGTACTTTTAAGCAATATAAAATTAGCAACACCAAAGTCCATGCTCAATAATCCAGGTATAAAATCCAACAATTTTCAGTCAGGTCA